AACAAGAACGAGTCGACTAGGATGAAACTTTTGCACTAATAGCTCGACTAGAGTCTATACGGATTCTTCTTGCATATGCATCATTCAAACGATTTAGACTTTTCCAGATGGATGTCAAAAGTGCTTTTTTAAATGGCTTTATTGATGATGAGGTATATGTAAAACAACCTCCTGATTTTGAAGACTCAAAATTCCCTTACCATGTGTATAAGTTGACTAAAGCTCTGTATGGACTCAAACAAGCTCCACGAGCCTGGTACGAAAGGCTTAGCTCATTTCTACTTGACCATGGCTTTACAAGAGGTAAACTACATTATTTATCAAAAGATTATTAGGAGGTAATCTTATTATTCTAATCTATTGATGATATTATCTTTGGAAGTGCTAAACCTCTTTTGTGCAAGGAATTCGCAGTCTTATGCAAAGTGAGTTTGAAATGAGCATGATGGGAGAACTTACGTTTTTCCTTGGACTTCAAATTCAACAATCTGAAGAAGGAAATTTTGTGTGCCAAACAAACTATACAAAAGAATTAATTCAAAAGTTTGGCATGAGCAGTGCTAAATCAATTGGTACACCAATGAGCCCGTCAACAAGTCTCGACAAGGACGAAAAAGGAAATCCAGTTGATGAAACTAAGTATCGTGGAATGATTGGCTCCAATCGACCAGATATTATGTTTAGTTGGTATAAATGTGCCAGATTTCAGTCCGCTCCGAAGAAATCGCATCTGACTGCAGTAAAGAGAATAATTCATTATCTCATCGGAACTATTTTTATGGACTATGGTACCCACGTTCTAACAATATTAAGCTAGAAGGTTTTTCAGATGCTGACCTTGCAGGTGATAAGGAAGACAAAAAAAGCACCATCGGAACATGTCAATTAATGGGAAAGGAATCAATATCATGAAATAGTAAGAAACAAGGCTCAATTGCATTATCCACAACGGAGGCCGAATATATTGTCATTGGGCAATGCTGTGCACAATTACTCTGGGTGTCTCATCAACTGGGTGACTATGAACTATTTTTAAACTTATTCAAATATTTTGTGATAACTCTAGTGCTATATGTCTCTCAAAGAATCTTGTGCATCATTCTAGGGCTAAGCATATAGACATTAAATATCATTCTATTAGAGATCATGTCCTTAAGGGAGATATAGAATTATCATTTGTTGGCACCACTAATCAATTAGCAGACATTTTTACTAAGCCTTTACTTGAAGTTAGATTTTTCTCCCTAAGAGAACAACTTGGCATTATTTCGCTTAATCATAAAAATTAGGACCTATGTGTTAATTTTAATTCTTGCGTGTCTAATGTTTTTAGTTTTATTTTCTCTGTAAGTATGCATTAATTAAGCGCCTCCGATTTCCCTCTCTTCTCCTACCAGTCGCAGCTTTCATGAGAGGAAAATCAATCATCATGACCCTTCACAGACACCCTTTCCTTTCCTGCACTGAACCGTCAAAATCCTTTCTTTTTAATCCTCTGAGCCATTCTCCCCTGCCCTCATTGTTCCTATCGCTCAGAAACCCTTCTTCAAAATCCTTCAGTGGCTAAACATCCAAGCATCCTTCTGCCTCCACTAGAAAAAGTACTCGTTCCAAGGGAAAACCTTCTTCTCAGCCTCCAGAACAAGTAGACCTAGGGTCAGACCACTCAGAAGGGTTTGCCTCTTCTCAGGCAGAACCATCTGACCACTCTCACCAAGTAGGAGAAAAAGCTCTTGGTAAAAGGCTCATGGAAGACCCCCTTGAATCTTTTACCCCCAATAAATCAAAAGTAGACCTCTCGCGTTCTCTAGAGTTCGACCTCAATTTCTGGGATACTCCAAATAGGTTTTTTTTGTTGCTCTGAAAGTGAAGCCCATTTCTCACGGCAGAGTAATCGACCTTGATGACATGGAGGCCCTTAGTTGTAAGGTAAATAATCTGTTTGTTTTTCAAGGATGATCTAAATTCTTCTCTGTGCCCCCTCCCAAAGTTTATGAACCTTTAGTGAGAATGTTCTATGCCAATCTTCACTCTAGAAAGCCTGATAAGTTAGAATCCCTAGTTTTAGGAAAACACATTGTTCTTGATTGTGCCATTTTTGACTTAATTTTTCAGTGTAAGTGCTCCGATTTTCCCATGCTTTTCAAGAATACTTGGCCTGATGATTTTGAAATTTCTTTTGATCAAGCAAAACATTGTATTGCTGAGTGTTCATCTGATTTCCTTCCTAACCAGTTAGGTCCTAGTGATGTTAGTTTCGAACCCGAGTTCTGGCCCACATTATTACAACTACTCTTCTTCTTCGCACTGGCTCATTCTCCAGCTTCTCTCAACAAGACACCTTTCTTGTCTACTGTCTTGTGACCAAACTTAAGGTTAAACTATCCTCATGGTTCATAAACTTCATGATTGAGAGTGTTGATGATCCCACTAGTCTACCCTATGGTATGGCTATCACCCACATCTTTGAAGCCCACAACATCTCTATCTCAGAATACCCCTTTGTTTCTGTTTCAAAATCCCACAACTCTAGAGCTTTTACCAGTATGGGGTATGTGTTTACTAAGGTCTCCTGGGTGAAGAAACAGGAAGGTGAAGTCAAGAATGTTCAGCCTGATTCTAAGATCAAAGCCTCTGTTTCCTATCATACTGTAGGTGATCCTGATCTTGCAGAGAAATTGACTGCTATTGACAACAAGTTGACCATCATCAAGGACCTTCTTGCTGCATCTCAATCTACGGTTGGGGACATCCATGCCATCTCCAATGAGACTGGGTCCGACGTTTCAAAGATAAGGGTCAAAATTCTCAAACGTGTAGAAAACGCAGTCAAAGCCTTCAAGGAAGTACATAACAGGATTGATGGGGTGACATTTTCAGCTAATGCCAGCTTTGAGCATCTGAAGGAGGCGATTTGCAACACTCTCACTTGTTTCTTGCGTCATTAGTTGTGGATGTTTCAGACAATTTGTTTTTTCCATTTTGCGGTTTCGGACTGGATATCTAGTCGCTGGATATTTTTCTTTACTTTTGCTAAACTCTACATGCCTATAATTTGCTAATATTTGCCTATGATGTGCATGTTTGTACTTAATTTCAACTATATATATGCATTCCCCTCTTTGCTAATGTCATAAATGGGGGAGAAAAGAAGTCAAACATTGCGGGACAAATAGCAGCACTTGTTGAGGGGGAATCGATTGAAGCATATGCAGTACCTGTTGAGAGGGAGTCGACTGAAGCATATGCAACACCTATTGAGGAGGAGTCGACTGAAGCATATGCAGCACCTGTTGAGGGGGAGTCGACTGAAGCATATGCAGCACCTGTTGAGGGGGAGTTGATTGAAGCATATGGTGAGGCGGAGCCGACTACAACTGAGCAGGCTAATAGGGAAGTAAACTGTTGTTTATATATATTATTTTTGTCATAATAAAAAAGGGGAAGATTTTTAAATATGAGTTTTAGTGATGAAAAATAATATATCACATTGGTGCAGGATCACAAGGGATACAACAAAGGAATCAAGAAGCCCTATCATTCAGGTATGGATTAAGGAAGCTATCTATTAACGGGAGCTCTAGAAGCAAAGAAAAAGGAAAAGTATCAATGATTAGAGATGAAAAAGGAAGAAGCAGCGGAGATGCGGAAGAAGAATCAATCAATAATTTGATAGATGATTGACGAAAGCTATTATAGGAAGGTCCCAAATCAAAGAAAAACAAGATTGCGAAGCGCTGCACTGGAGATTGTTGAAGCCCAAAATCAAGGGATCCATCGGCGATCACTCAAGTAACGGGAAAGATATGCCTAGCGGATGAACAGCCTGTCAAGATCACAAATCAAGGAATATCAACGGAAACTTGACTTTATTCTTGGAAAGAATCAATTTATGATTCCTTTGAAGGATCAACTCCCTTGGGTTTGTAATATCTCAAGATTCACATCAATCAAGAGTCAAGAAGGTCTCACGAAGTATATATATACATCAGTTCCACATACTTTGAACGAACCATTATAACTCTTTTCGTTCTACTCCAAACAAGCATTGTATTTCTTTTTTAGATCTGCTGTGTAATTAGTGAGTGAAGAAAAAGAGACAAACACTGGTGAGGCATTGTATCAAAAAGAGAAAAGTGACATAGAGACTAAGCTCCTGGTGTAAAGCTACATCAACCATTTTATACTCGAGAAACCTCAAACACTGAAAGAGATCACCCTTGCAACCCAAGGGGACTGGAGTAGAATCCACAATGAATCACAACTGTTTTTATTTCCTGCATTTTATTTCTGCATGACTATTATTCTGTTCTTATCTCTACTCGACTAATTGGTAAACTAGTCGACTTATAATACTAAAAATAAAACTCGACAATTCACACTCCCCCTTGTACTTTCAAATAAGATTAGTATGATAACTTCGAAACTAAAGTAATAATCTGATATGAAAGATGGAATTCGACTAATAGTACAAAGTTTTATACTGTTAGTATATATATGTTAAAATTTTAATCATGAGTAAAGAAAACATAATTGTTTGTTGATCTACATCAATTAGTATCAAGCTTCATACGGTAACCTAAAAATTAATAGTAATAACTATTGTGATGATCGATAAAATTATACTAATAGTGAAATAAATCTTTATATTGTAATGTATGTAAGTTAAATCTGTTATCATAAGCTAAGAACACATAATTGTTTTTAAAAAAATATTATATCTTGTGTGTACAATAATTGAGGGGTAGCGTGATGTGGGTAAATATTCAAGATAAGTTGATCAACTTTTGGATCATACGAAAGGGTACCCACAAAAGGTACGGCCAGGATCAGATCTACTGTCGGCGGGCCAGGTGATGCCACCACTCCCCCCCCACCCCCACCCCCACCCCCCCCATTTTAAGGCCACAAGAATGGGATGGGGATTGGGGACAATATCAGATACGACACTATTACAAGTATAAGGTAAAGGTTGCGACAACTGTGTACAGAATTAAGGTTATATTGTATTCTTGTATTGCATGTGATTCCTAAGCTGTTATTTTGATGATTGCCTTAAACTCCCCTTTGTGGTGTGATCCACATATGTATATACAACTATATATTATTCTTTCCCCTGCATTATATGACAGTACAACTATATATGTATTATTTAATATGTTATCGTGATTAGAAAATGTTTAAATATGGTGTGCAGTGCTGGACTTGTCTGGGGCATCTCTTTCACAAAACTCAAATCACATTGGCTAAGGCCACTGGATTTGTTTGGCATGCTTCCTCCCTACATCCCTAACTAGCTAGTCTCTATCTCTTTTCCTCAAACTCCAAAAATGCAACAACATTTGCTTTGATTTCTGTGTTTGTAAAAAGAGAATCTTAAATTCTTCCTCAGCAGTCCTAACAATGCGATTTTATTCTTTCTTCTTTTAATATTTTTTTTTTGATTTCTATCTTCGGGTCAGTATATACTGGGGAATGTGAAGGCAAAGGTGGGGTGTTAGCTCTTCTTTCAAAAGAAAGAAAGCCTGAGTTTCAAGTTTTTCCAAGCTCCTCAAAATTCTCACCTCCTATCTCTTCTGTTCTCTTCTCTTCATAAAAAGTACAACTACGTTACAGGTAAAGAAGTTCAATTGATCACACGTCTCTACTTATTGGAGTATCTTAATTTTGTATAATATAATCCTAGTTTCTTGTTACTGCTATGAGATATTAACTTCATCTACATGAAATTAAGGTTGCATGCATTAGTCTCGGGTATGATCAATTTCTTTAGTCATTTGGTGATGATAAAAATTAATTCTAGTAGCGATCTATCTGATTATGCACTTTGTTTGAGACTCAAAAATTTTTATCTGATGACTAGCAAACCTCTTCCTTAATTTCCTTCATACACTAAAGGGAACTAAATGGTACAACTCAATATGTAAGTCGCTGGCTTCTGCAACAGTTATCTCGATAGTATGTTTCTTCCTTGTAACCCAACAATTGAAGAAAGCTGAAATTTCGAAAAAAAGTAGTAGCAAGTCGAGGATAAACACTGGCTTTAATTGGCGGAGATGCATGTGCATATTGTTTTGGCGAAAAATATCTGTATTTTTTCTTGGTATGCACTTGATTTTACGCGATAACTACTGTTCATATGATAGTGATATTAAGACATGCTCTATAGGAATTTGTAATATTAATAATTATTGCGTGGCCCAAACTGACAGTAATTATGTAAGGATAAGTATAACAAACAAAATGATACATGCCATAAAAGGGGTGCGTTAATTTCCTTAAGTCATCAAAAACATTTGTGCGACAAATTTGGAAGCCTGATAGCAGCCTTTGACATCTATCAACTTACTTTATACTACAAATAAATGACAACTATTTCTTTATTCATTTTCAAGAAACTTACCCTGATTTCTGCTTCTTTTTATGTAGAGATTTAGAAGCGGGGATATACATTAATTCAAAATTCCGTCCGATATTGAGTGGAATTAAAGAAACGTCCCTTCTTCTTCTTAGAATTTCTTCAGTTTCAAGCAATCTAAATTCCGAGGCAGCTTTGAAAATGGAGAAGCTTCTCAATCCATACGATAAGGAATACATGAAGATGGCCATGTTAAAGCACGAGGAAATCTTCAGAGAGCAGGTAATCAAAATAGTACTCACTACTTCTCCTATCCCCATATATATTCTTATAAACTAGTACTTCACTTTTACTTGAGTTATATGTATACACATATTTGAAAAGATATGTAAACTTTATAATTATAATAAGATCACACTCATTTTGATTCATTATTTGTCTTTGGTTGCACACTTGTATGCACGAATGTTAATTACATGTTCTCTCCGGAACACAGGTGTACGAACTTCATCGTCTATATCAAACCCAGAAGTTACTGATGAAAAACATTTCAAGTAGCCGGCAACAAGTGAAAGATCAAGTGGTCAACCATCATAATATTCTTGATTCAAACAAGAAGACCCGTCAATGTTTTGACTTGGAAATAAGGCCAAATGATCAAGAGCATATTGCAGAATCAGTTGGTCAAGATAATAATATTGAAGATGAGACTGAACTCGAGTTAACTTTAGGCCTGTCAAGTTACAACCGCAGGAGAAAAATAGCTAATTCTGATTCTGCACCAAGTTTTTCTTCTTCTAATTCCACGGGCTCTTCTAGCCAAATTATAAAGCCTTCAACTTCAGCAAGGAATCCAAGAAATGATCTAAATGGCCATAAATGGAGACTTGAGAATTTACCCGTCTCGAATCCAAGTTTTCAGCTTGGTGCAAGACAAAGTAATCCGAATGTTGAAGAGCAATTTAGACAAGATTCGTTGAATAATCCTCCTTGGCTTTTTCAAGTTTTGAGTTTGAATATGACTTGAAAAAAACCAAAAACAAAAAAGTAAATTTGATCTATGAGCTGATGATCAGTCGGTGTGATAAGATTTTAAACTTCATCCTACCGACTACTTCTGTGATTTAAATTGTGTGAATTTTTAGTATATTTTGTTTCAGCTGCAGGATCAAATTTATGTTATGATTGGTCCTATTTGCTTCACTAACGGTATTTTTGGGATTTGAGAGCCACCCAAAGTACGTAGCTTAATTAGATTTGAGTTTTTTGGATATAAAATTGACTAGTCGTCGTTTGTACTTAACTCACAAAATATCTATATGGGAATCTTATGTGATTGCCCTACACCGCGAGAATTGAGTCTGTAATATCACATCAATTCCCTGAAGGTTTCTTTGTTACGTTAAACTCGAGGATGGTTCGTTCCCTTTATTTCATTCAATATCTTTCCATTTTCTGAAATCATCTCTAACTTGCTCCTGCAGATTAATGCTAGTCAAGTCAAGCCAGACATCTTTTTTCTTTCTTTTCTAATTAAGTCATTTATTTCATCATATCATGTCCTGAAATTTCAACTTTGTCCTTGTGTATGATGGTAGTCTTGGTATGCCAAAGAGTTACGCCTTTGGTAAATATCATAAATGCTTACTATAAGATAAAATTAGTCAAAAATCAGTAAAAATTGCACGGGGCGTCCTATTTGGTCGCCTCCATTTAACCTATACCTATTTTTTTAAAAAGTTTTAACTTGTACCCACTTTTTAAATAATTTCAGCCCCCTTTCTCCTCCTCCTTCGTTTTCTTCTTCTCTTCTTTCTTCTGCTGCTGTTGGTGCTGCTATGAAACTTCAGTTCATGTGGATGATTGCTATAAGTATGTTTATCAGATTATTTAAAAATAAATTACAAATAACTTTCTAAAGTGAGTTTTGAAGAAGATGATAGTAACTTGTTGGATTCAACTGTGTACATTATCAATGCATTTTAACCTGTTGTGCTAAATCATTTATTTAGTTTTTTAAGTTACTAATTCTACTTATGATAAACTTATTATCTGTACAAAAAATCAATTACATGATAGCATAAAACATGTTGAAGTTCAGCAGATATCGAACAAAACTTCATCTAAAACATGCTGAAGTTCAGCAAATAGAGAACAAAACTTCAGCTACTAGAATGCTTAATTAAGTTCAGCAATTACAAACAAAAACTTCAGCCAACACTAAGTTTACGTGAAAAACTTCAGCTACTAGAATGCTTAAGTTCAGCAATTACAAACAAAAACTTCAGCAAATAGAGAACAAAACTTCAGCTACTAGAATGCTTAAGTCAGCAATTATAAACAAAAACTTCAGCAAATAGAAAACAAAATTTCAGCTACTAAAATGCTTAAGTTCAGCAATTACAAACAAAAACTTCAGCCAACACTAAGTTTACCTGAAAAACTTCAACTAAAACATGCTGAAGTTCAGCAATTACAAACAAAAACTTCAGCACACTTGGTTCAGCAATTTTGTTACTTCAGGCCCGTCTACTAGAATGCTGAAGTTTGTGTGATTGTCTTTGCTACTTCAGGCCCTATGCTGAAGTTACGCGATGAAGTGGGTACGCTTGCAATTTTTTTTCCAAAACGGGTACAAGTTAAAACATGACCTAAAAAGCGGGTATAGATGCAAATGCCCCCAAAAATCATAAGTTTGAACTTTTCAATTTATAAGTATTTTTGGTTTGATTAAAACTTTTATTATCCCCGTTTATGTGATATAGTTGTATTCCATGAGATTGTTATGGCTAAATAAATAAATAAAAAAAGTAACTAATTTCTAAACATAGAAATTATTAAACGGATAAATAAGGAATTTTTTTTTATTCCTAATAATTTTGTAATCCTCAAACGACTTTTCCCAACACAAAACCTCTAAATCGCTCTCAATTCCAATTCTTTTCCATTGCAATGCTAATTTTAGATTAATATTTTCTAGAACAACTTTAAGGTGATTTTGAAACATTTTAAAGCGGCAGTGTTGGCATACACCAATATAGTACTTATTATCGGTTCCAGCAATTTTATTCAAACACAAATTAATTACTTATTTATAAACTCAAATTCAATAATTAAAGGTATTTTTTTCAGTTCTGTCAATCAACCAAGCCAAATTGGCTCTATATCGAAGAGAACCACATCAAATAGGAATCTCAAAGTGCTTCAAGAAATAAATATATAGAACAAGAGAAACACTCATCATCAATTATTCAGGTTCATTGTACTAATAGAGATTCTTCACTTTTATGACATAATCTCCACTCTCCAACTTGGATGTCATTTAACAAACATAAAAGGGGTTAGATAGAGCTAGATTTGTGATAATATATTTAAAGAAGTTGATAGGAATCTGATCTAACCAGACTTTGTTAATTTCCACTTCAACGGGAGGGAAAAAAAGAATAGAGGAAAAGCGAATAAGATGATTCTTAAAATTCTCTAATTTATTGTTAGTCGTTTTCCACCAACCACATGGAAACTACTCCTACCAACAGTTGCGTAGGAATTGCTATAGTTTTGTCTGCCACCAAATGAACATGAGATTCTCGATCCAAATAAATAAGGCTTCTCTCTGCAATAATATATTGGGTTGAGTTATCTTTTTCTTGAATATTTTCTGATCTCAAAAGTTAACGAAGCATCAGTTATTTGAAAGCATACACTTTTCATTGTACTACTATGTTCTATGACCATGATGATAATTTGCCTCAGGTCTAGAATTAGAATAATGCTTTCCCCTGCCTGATCATGATGATAATTTACTATGTTCTCTACTCCGCCATTCATTTTTCAGTCTCCAAATGCAGAGGCGAGGCGGATTTAGGACGAGTTTTGCCTGTATATATCGATTTTAGGCTCGAATTATGTATACTGAGGGTGACAATTTGAACCCAAACCCATTTGACCCGTCCAACCAGACCAAGGTTAGGTCTGCCCATTTGTTGAACTCAGTCCATCTTGACCTAACACATCTCAGTCCATCTAAAGTTGGACTAGTTTTTACTCCAAATTAATCCATGAGTAACTTTTCTAAAATATCTAAAAAATAATTTTTTTATTGTTTGATATGTTATATATGAGTATAACAAAAAAAAAAAAGTCTTATTTGATAATTAAACAATTTATAAGAAAACAAAGCATATTAATTAAAGCTTAATAAGAGTTGAGTGGGTTGGGTTCTGACCCAAATTTTAGCCCATTTTGACCCAGCTCATATAAGCTCAAGTAATTTTTGGACGGGTACCCGCTCACTTATTCACTTAGCCCATTTTGACCTTCCCCAAATTAGTCCAATCCGCCCATTTGACACTCCTATCGGTATATATACAAATTTAAGACGTGTACATATAATAAGATCATACTTATTGTGAACCCACTGACTTTAGATCTTGAATTCATTTTTGTTCCAAAGCTTTATCTTAATTTGAGGAACTACTGAAACACAAAAGATAGCACTGATACTAATTAATACTATTATAGTATTTTTAGCAGAAAATATTCAGCATTGTCAATCGATAATCCGTAACAATGTTGGATGCTGAAAGCCTTACAGAGGGAGCGTATCAAAATCTACCAAAATCTGTTAATGTGTGAAACAAGATTGAATTGAATCAATTTGTATCTAGGGCTTGTATTAGAATGAACGAAGAAAGAGCTATCTTCTTATTGTATCAGAAAACAAAAAATGAATGCTTCTTCTGTTTCTAGAAACCTCTACTACTTATATACATGACCCGAAAATTACTATTTGGGCTCAAGCCCAATCCAGACTACATACATAAATAAAAGTACAATATAGACAGAATATTAAGTTGGGCCTTCTTCAATTTGGGCCTGACGTGTAGTAACTCCAACACCCCCCCCCCCCTCAAGTTGGAGGGTGGAACAACCCTCAGCTTGGGAAGAAGTGCATGATGAGCAAGCCCAGTAAGTAGCTTGGTGAAGATGTCAGCCAGCTGGTCGGATGTTGAGACATGGTGGAGAGAGATAAGACCATCAGCAAGCATGGTTCGGATGAAGTGACAATCCACCTCAATGTGCTTGGTGCGCTCGTGGAAAACAGGGTTCCTAGCGATGTGGATGGCAGCTTGGTTGTCACAGTAGACCGGAATAGCAGCAGTAACAGGGAAACCAAGATCTGATAAGAGCCTCACTACCCAGGCAAGTTCAGCAACCACTTTGGAGATAGCCCTATACTCAACCTCAGTTGAAGAGAGAGAAACAACAGGTTGCTTTTTAGCTTTCCACCTAATGAGGCAATCACCCAGAAAGATGCAAAAGCCAGTGACAGACCGCCTAGTGTCAGGGCAAGCGGTCTAATCACTATCACAATAGGCAGCCACAGAAGTAGAAGGTGAGTTGCTGAAGAAAACACCAACATCAGAAGTGCCTTTGAGGTAGCGGAGAAGATGAAGAGCAGCCTGCATATGAGGAGCACGAGGGGCCTGGAGAAATTGACTTAAATGCTGCACAGCAAAACACAAATCAGGTCGAGTATGTGTTAAAAAGTTTAACTTGCCTACTAAGCTGCGATAACACTCAGGAGATGGAAGAAGATCCCAGAATCAGCTGTTAGTTTGACATTCAAGTCAAGGGGAGAAGTAACAGAAGACACATCTGAACAGTTATGAACCTTCAGAAGATCCCTAATAAACTTCTTCTGATGAAGCAACAACCCAGAACTGGAATAGGCCACCTCAATACCCAAAAAATAATTCAGAACACCCAAGTCTTTGATTTTGAACTGATCATTCAAGAAGCACTTGAGAGCAGAAATCTCATCCAAATCATTACCAGTAACAATTATATCATCAACGTACACTGCAAGCAACACAATGGAAGAAGCATATTTTTTGAAGAAAAGGGAGTAATCATTCAGAGAGTGAGAATACCCTTTGGAGCAAAGGGCATGAGACTGCTTGGCATACCATTGCCTAGAAGCCTGTCTCAAGCCATAAAGTGATTTCTGAAGCCTGCAGACCAAAGGGGAGGAAGTACCAGAAAGGGAGGAAACACATAAACCAGGAGGAAGTTTCATATAAACCTCCTCATCTAAATCACCATGCAAAAAAGCATTATTTACATCCAATTGAAAAAGAGACCATTGATGTTTCACAACTACAACAACTAAACATTTAATAGTAGAGAATTTAACCACAGGAGAAAATGTTTCATTAAAATCAACCCCTTCAAGTTGTGTATCCCCTCTAACAACTAATCTAGCTGTATATCTTTCAACTGAACCATCAGCCTTATATTTAATCTTGTAAACCCACTTGCAGCCAATATGCTTTTTGCCTTCAGGCAACTCAACAATCGACCAAGTATCGTTGGCCTCAAGTGCCTCAAATTCCTTCTGCATGGCC